TAATGTTATACTATACAGTGTAAGAGTGAGGATTGAACATGTTTAGATTTATTGTTATAGTGTTAATGGGTTGGGTGTAAGGATATGTGATGGTGTGTCCAGTCAGTGTCATGAATATGCATAAATGCTTGAACTTTGAGACATCATTTTTGATATGTAATGAGTGAGTTCGAGTGAGTGTTCCTACTCTAACCTGTCCTTTTCATACTTTTATACAGAAATAAATGTGTTGCACCAAGGAAGAGCACTGCCCGAGTGTATGCTCAAACTAAACGAGGAGACGCACATCAATAGAAAAGGATTTCACAGCAAATACTAATTTGTGATGATTTTGCACAATGCAAAGCATTTTTTCTAAATAAATGTAAATATTAAAGATTCAGTGTCATAGTTAAATGAATTTATTATAATTAGATTAATTGATTGGTGTCATGCTGCTGTGACCTCACCCTTGTAGGCTCACTATTGGCTGATTCAGTGGTTGAGGGCGGACATCACTGTAGTCCTTAAGAATCAGCCGTAGACTATACTGAACGCTGCTTTTAGCTTCTTTATAAAAGTCTCCTACTCTTAGAAAAGTCCTACTTTTTACTAAGAATTTTTTGACACTTAATTCAACAGCATTTCATAGAAGAGTTATACATATCGGCTGTAGGCGGACAGTATTCCAGGGGACGGGAACGAGTGGGAGGAGCTGATGAGTTTGGAGTGAATCATGACACATTTCATATGAAAAAGTTAATAATTGCATTTTATTAACAAACTATTTTAGTTTGTATAGTTATTTTCTGATGAACCCAGATAACATGTTAAGCTATCATATGATTACAGGTTTCCCCACCTACGGGGCATGTTGTCACATGTCACTTCCTTTCTTTCGAGGGGAAATAAAGAAAAATATACACTGTATTTATGAAACAAGACCATTTGATTACACTAGTAGACATGTGTGAAAAAATATTGTGGAAATAAATAAATATTTCTATTCTCAAATATAGAATAGAAATATAAATAGACAAACTGATAGAGGCAAAAAATATGGCACTAAATAATACTGGAGACTGGATAGTGTTACTCTTTTAGATGAATTTCAGTACTCATCTCTCTGAATCTGCACTTCTTTTTGTGTTTCCATGGTGCAAATTGCAAAACTGAAACCACTGCAACCACTTCCTGTTTGTTTTTTTCCAGTTTAGTGTGACTTTGTAAAAATACATTTCTTTAGAATCCTTTGTAAGATGTTTAAAGCATTAGTTCACCTCAAAATGAAAATGTCCTGATAATTTACTCACCCCAGTGCCATCCGAGATGTTTATGTCTTTCTTTCTTCAGAGGAAAAGACATTTTTGAGGAAAACATTTCAGGGTTTTTCTCCACACAATGGGCTTCAACATTAACCAAATGGATGAAGTCCACATCAATGCAGTTTCAAGGGGTTTTGAAGAGCTTCAAACGGCTCTGCACGACCCCAGCTGAGGAATAGGGTCTTATCTAGCCAAACCATCACTCATTTTCTAAAAAATTAAATGTATATCCTTTTTAACCACAGTTGTTTGTCTTGTGGAAGAGGTGAGGCTCACCCTGTGGTCTGTGTGGGTCCTAACTAGGGATGGCTCGATACCACAATTTTGGCTTCGGTACGATACCACAACATAATACCTTGGTATCGATACTAAATCGATACCACAGTCGAAAAAAAAAAAGTCTCAATTTAAGTGAATTGAATCAATTTTATTAAACACTGCTTCAAACTCTCCACTACCATATGTGCAAAGAAACATACATATACTATATATATATATATATAAATATATATACTTTGTATATGTATGTTTCTTTTATATATATATATATATATATATATATATAAACATATCAATGTAAAAAATAAATACAGTAGGTAAATTTTTGATTTAGGAAAAAAAATGAAATTATACACTTAAAATAGGTTAATTAGCTATAATAATAGATTTACATATAATTATAATAATAATAGAATAATGAAATGACATGTAGTAAACCAGCTGTCATGCATCAAGGGAGAATGATCAACATTTATAGCATTTATTCATCTTGGTTTGGTTACTGTTTGGTTTGTGTTTCATTATTTAGTGAATATCACAATCTTTCTCTGCAAAATAAGCCTCCCTTCATTACGCTAATTAACACTGAATTAGACCATTTTTATTGTACAGAAAAAAAAAAGAAAAGTGTGCATTAAATCATTGAAGAGACAAGCATAAAAGAGAAAACATTGTCTGCACTTTTATCCTTTACATTTTCCCTATCAACATATAACTAAATGAGGAAAGAAAAAAAGAAAAAGAACCACAACAATAAAGTAACCACGAGCCCAAACCCCTCCCCCCACCCACCAAAGAGGATTCGAAAATATCGGCAGTCATGCAATTATACTTTATATATAAAATATGAGCCCGTTCTCATCCCAAAGCGCCATATAGGACGCTTTTGCAAAAGCGTAAATATCCAACGCACATGGCACCCTTTAACGTGAAATGAGACGCAGATATATTTGGGCAGAAGGCGCCCCCTAGTGGTCTAACCCTTACCCTACACCATACCTAAACTTAACCATTAACCGAAGCGTCTCATTAGACGTTAAAGGGTGCCATGTGCGTTGGATATTTACGCTTTTGCAAAAGCGTCCTATATGGCGCTTTGGGATGAGAACGCGTTGAAAATATATGTTATAAAAAAACTTTCACACCAAGGATATATTTAGTTACAACTAGGGTTCCATATTTTATCAAATGTATCAGTTTTTTAGAGTGAAAGGAATGACATCAGATCCGTTAACCAAGAGGTAGTTGGACACTTACAATGCAACAAAATGCACCATCTAGCAATAACCTCTGCTTTCTGTCTCGTGATGGATGACGAGTGAGACACACCAAACATGGAGATGCAGAGCCTTATACATGAAGAAGCCCAGTATTTGGGCAGCTAAAGAATGTATAGGTGTGATCAGCAGGAGAAAACACTGAATTAGACTTGTCCATTACGGACACTGAACTCATTTTGGTGGCCAGAAACTCTGACCTGTGCAGTACACTGATCTTTCTGCCCTAATGCTCTGGTCAGCAGGGCTGCGGTCGCTGTCCGCGGTGCTGAACATGTAAGCACCGCTTTTGACCCTAGTACGGTTTTCAGTGGCATTCCTCTCTGCAATACCTTCCACCTGTCTGCATGTTCTCTAAAATGCAAATTTTCACATATTTGTAGCTTCTGCAAGGACCGAAATCTGTCTGTCCACGACAAACTGACATTGAATCAACGTGGAAATAACATCGAAACAACGTTGATCTGACATTGTTTTGCTCATCGAATTAACGTTGAACCAACGTCAGACGCGTCATTCTTTCAAAACTAGCGGAAAATCAACTTGAAATCAACGCGTTGTTTCAACGTTATGAAAGCAAACCAATTTTCGATTTTCATTTAGCTTTGAAGAATGCCGCGTCTGCCGTTGGTTCAACGTTAATTCGATGAGCAAAATCAACGTTGTTTCAATGTCATGAGAGACGTCGTTTCCACGTTGATTCAATGTCAGTTTGCTATCTGGGCATAGACAGGGCTTTATCAAAGAGGTCCTAAATTTGAGTTTGGTCGGGGCTTCAAATTTTTTATTTCTCTGATGTGCATTTCGAGACGTTTGAAGACCAAAACAGGATAAGAAATAGCTTTAAAACCATGTCAGTGGGCAGTAGATTATCTTCCCCTTAGAAGGCTGAGCTTTTCTCAATATGTATACATTCAGTATTACTCTTGTGGCTAAAATTATGAAAACGGCTTTGTTAGTGTTTCTTGTCCCTTCGCAATGACAGTAACATTCAACTAATTATTAAATTACGTTACATGAGTCACGTTGGCCTATTTTCAGTTCAAAATGGTGAGCAACAAAGGAATCCATTCATTGTGCTAAGCTAAGCTAGCGCCGACCCTGTCAAACTAAAACAGTGCATGCACTGAGACAAAAATGCATTTCCACAGATGTCTAAATGTAGGAAAGCCCTATTTCAAAAAACGGTGGAGTGTTCCTTCAAAATTGTGTATGTAAGTTTGTTTCTGTGTTTATAGCTCTCGTCACCATAGCAACGGTAGTATTCACAACAGCAACAGCTCTGCACAGGAAGTGAGAGGAGTGAAGATGCAGGAGGTTATGATGATGAGTGTCATAACAACAACAACACAACACTGATGTCAATGAAGCACTCGAAACTCTAGAGCACTTTCTGTTTTTCATGAGAACCTATATCAGTTGTATCTGATAATTATGTCATGTTATTGACGTGGGTAATGAATGCTAGGATTCGATGGGCTGCTAAAAGAAAATTCACTGTAATACAGTGAGGAGTTCATGTATTACTGCAATGAGAATTTCAGGGATGAAAATAACGTCACAATGCAGCAAATCTTAATCATCACTACACAGGCGTAATAACACACGTGACCTGGAAATGTTCTTTTTTGTGAGATTAATGGCATCATTTGGTAAGCGGCTGACACATGTAGTTCTCGGAAACGTTGACATTCAACCTTCCAAAATTTGTTTTTCCAACTCCAGTCTGACTGTTGTTCTCCAGAGTTTGATGTTGGTGCACTGCTTATTTCTCGTGATCTGTGAAAGCCATAGTGTATAGTGGATGAAGTACACTCTAAAAAAAAACAGCGGTTCAGCGGTTCTTCAGTGGTTCTCTGGGGTGGTTAACATGCTCTATGGCACCTTTTATGGTTCTACATGGCACCATATGAAAAGATAAGTGGTTCCCCTATGATTACAAGCCAATGAACCACTTTTAGTGCTATTTAGCAGCATTTTTTAGAGTGTAGACGCTGAGGGGGATTTAGAGGTGAAGGATGCATCATGTGAAGGATGCGTGATGTACAGATTAACAGGTTCCCTTTTCTAAACACACTGAAAGTGAGAGAGAGAGGCAGAGAGCGGTTGAGGGTGTGTTCAAACGTGTCCCACCCTTTTCTCTCTCTCTATTAGTTCTGCACATTGAGATCTCACCTCAAACGTCCCAGCTCTATTACAGCAATCACCCTTCTGGATTGAAGAACAGCCTTGACTCTCGTGGCTCACACAGATTCCCTCACCGGCCGTCAGGATGTGGATGGTGCTGCTCGGACTCTGCTTAGGATTACTGGCCTCATCCAGATCGCAGTCGACCACAGGTGAGGAACTCGTCTCTGTATACTGAGTATGAATGGAGCAGCGCTGTCTGAATGCAGATCAACGGCTGCCGAAGAGAACAGAACCTCAGAGCCAGAAGAGTTTAGGCTGTTTAATAGAAAGATAGGCTAAATAAACGAGAAAGTGTAATGTTGCTTCCAGACTTTTTGTGTTGTACCGCAAATGCAGGAAACGAAACCTCACACCCCCTAAAAAACAGAAAGACTGTTTTCGCAACACTCGCTGGTTACTGTGGTAACATTTTGTTCTAAAGGATGTCACAACTTTAAGTCAACTGTTAAGTTGATGGATGAATCTGTGCTTTGCTGCTGCGCTGCATTGTTTCACATCATTCATGTCTTTTTCTCATCTTAAAGCACCTCTTTTTTGTGTTGAGCTGTTGAAATACCAATAAATACCTAAATGGAGAAGCAAATAAAGCGTCAATCCCACAGTCACACCATTTCACTTTGATCTCGCTCACTTTGTGTGGGGTTTTTGAGGTGCTTTATGTAAAAACTCAGCATGATAGATGTCAAATTAAGACGTGTGTGTTGTGTTTGTGTTGTGGGAATGGTGGGAAACTCTTGTTGGTTGGAGAGACATGCTACTGGGCAGCTGTAAATTTCAGCATTTCAAAAGAAAACCAGCGAGAGTCAGTCGAGTTTCAACAGAATCAAAAGTGAATGAAAACGACCGTCCAGATTTTCCTGATTTCTGAGAGCTTGTTCTCAGCCCATCAAATGATTATCCATCTCTCTAGATACAAGTCTTCCTACATCCACACACTAACTTCATCATCAAGAGAAGAACACAGGACAATTACCATTAGTCTTTAGGCCATCGCCAACAAAGTTGTAAGTGGTGGCTGTGGCTTTAAACGCTCGAACACAATGTAGTTCACAATGTAGAAAAACTGTTGTAGACCTTACGTCATCCTCACGTCACTTACTTGCTTTAGTGACTCTTATGCTTTTAGTTCTAGAAAAAGATCCTATTCCTTCAAGAGTCTTACTTTTTACTGAGAATTTTTGACACTCAAATCAAAGTTTAAGACTATGCATAATAGCATTTCTGAGAAGTTTTATACAAATGGCCCATTTTTTTGGGTCCCATTTTGTTGTGTGTGTGTCATGGAAAACAACACTCTGCACTCAATTGGATAGTCGGTAGACCTACAACCAATCAGAGCAACGCAGTAAGTCAACTACTTTGCATAGCGCAGTTTTCAACTGACTTACTTGTTTTAGAAGTAAAATAACGAGTGTTGCTTCTTTACTTACTCCTCCATGTGTGCGACCAAAGGAGAAACCACAACGACCACAGGCTTTTCATTACGTCCCATCTTCTTAACGACCGTCAGAGCCAGCTGATAAGTTATACTTTTGCTGAATCATGTTGGAAGGACGCCAAAAATATCTTTCCCATCGACAAATGCCTTGATTGCAGTTTTCTGTTTGTCTATTAAAATGAATGCGCTGTCGATTAATTTTAAAAACAGACACGACAGCGGAATCTATACATCTCAATTCTCCAGCTGCAGTCATCTTTGACAAGCGCTCTTTGATACCGTGATGATTACGTCCTTGCAGATCATCTGTCCATCATCGTATAAAGCCCGCCCTGGCAATTTGATTGGCCCGATCATTTTTTGCCTGATCATAATGGGCTATATGCACGCATAAGTTCCGCATTTGACGTAAAGATGCTCGTCCATTTCCGGTTGTGTAGATTAAAGCGGAGGAAAACCGGAGAAAACGGGATTATGGCAGAGTCTTCAATATTTACTCTCCTCCCGTCTTTGAAACGAAACGTACATACGTTTAGATGTAATTTTATATATAGTTATGTTTATTTAATATAATTTTAAAAAGAAGCATAAACACAACGAGGGGTGTCTGTTTTATCTGTTTTTGTGACTAACGTTTCATTAGTATAACCATGGAGTATAAAATTCAAAATAAATTCTCGGTATTGCATTGGACTCTATGATCGGCGGAAGTTATCGAGCATCCTTAATCCTTCACCGGAAATAACGCCGTGCATAGAGCCCATTACTCCTCAATGGATCGAGTCCAAACCGAACTTCCCGACCAAAAAATGTTGTGGGCGGAGTTCGGGCTGGCATCCAGGCTTACTTACCAATGTAATACTTAGGTAATAGTCTCTGACCTCTAAAACTCTAAAGCTGCAACCTGATGGTAGTACCTGAAAAGAGGGGTACAGAGGATGAGAGGGGTCATTATCGATGGAGACTGCTTTCCTCTTTACTGCAGAGTCATAGAGGTCTGCGGGGCCCCAATACTTTTCGATGCCTGTTTGATTGCTAAAAATAAGGAAAAATTACCCAGAGTAGACACAAAGAGAATGATATACTGTTATCGTGATATTCCTACTTACATTAAAACTCTTCAACCTTCTCAATAAAAATAAGTGCTGTTGTGCTTTCTTATGGATGATATTCACATGTTGAGAAAAGGATAGATGCCTATCTATCTCAGTGCTTAAAAATGTAAAGGTCTCAACTTGTTCCACTACCTGGCCCCCTAGCTTAAGTGGTTCAGATAGTGATGAATGAAACCTTCCACAACATAACTACTTCATCTTACTTATATTTGACCCTAGATAACTTTCTTGGAACCTCTGAATCATAGAACCAACATATTGTCTACACTCACCTAAAGGATTATTAGGAACACCATACTAATACTGTGTTTGACCGCCTTTCGCCTTCAGAACTGCCTTAATTCTACGTGGCATTGATTCAACAAGGTGCTGAAAGCATTCTTTAGAAATGTTGGCCCATATTGATAGAATAGCATCTTGCAGTTGATGGAGATTTGTGGGATGCACATCCAGGGCACGAAGCTCCCGTTCCACCACATCCCAAAGATGCTCTATTGGGTTGAGATCTGGTGACTGTGGCGGCCATTTTAGTACAGTCAACTCATTGACATGTTCAAGAAACCAATTTGAAATGATTCATGGTGCATTATCCTGCTGGAAGTAGTCATCAGAGGATGGGGACATGGTGGCCATAAAGGGAGGGACATGGTCAGAAACAATGCTCAGGTAGGCCGTGGCATTTAAACGATGCCCAATTGGCACTAAGGGGCCTAAAGTGTGCCAAGAAAACATCCCCCGCACCATTACACCACCACCACCAGCCTGCACAGTGGAAACAAGGCATGATGGATCCATGTTCTCATTCTGTTTACGCCAAATTCTGACACTACCATCTGAATGTCGAGACTCATCAGACCAGGCAACATTTTTTCAGTCTTCAACTGTCCAGTTTTGGTGAGCTTTTTGAACCACAGCAGAAGACTGGCGGGGTCTTCCTCTGTTGTAGCCCATCCACCTCAAGGTTGTGTGTGTGTTGTGTCTTCTTCACAAATGCTTTGCTGCATACCTCGGTTGTAACGAGTGGTTATTTCAGTCAAAGTTGCTCTTCTATCAGCTTGAATCAGTCGGCCCATTCTCCTCTGACCTCTAGGATCAACAAGGCATTTTGGCCCACAGGACTGACCCATACTGGATGTTTTTCCCTTTTCACTCCATTCTTTGTAAACCCTAGAAATGGTTGTGCGTAAAAATCCCAGTAAAGCAGATTGTGAAATACTCAGACACCAACAACCATGCCACACTCAAAATTGCTTAAATCCCCTTTCTTTCCCATTCTGACATTCAGTTTGGAGTTCAGGAGATTGTCTTGACCAGGACCACACCCCTAAATGCATTGAAGCAACTGCCATGTGATTGGGTGATTAGATAATTGCATTAATGCAGTATTGGGGAAGCTCAGAGCAAGCATGCAAAACTTGAAACACCGGTATTTTACCAAGAAAAACTATGGGGAAAAATGTATGTTAGACATTGAAAACCTGATCAAATACCATGATTTCCATAGGGAGAGAACACTGAGCACTAATAGACTGGGGGTGCGGGAATAAGTTGAACAAAACAGCTAAGCATGTTCAGCTATGCATTTACTGAATGAGCACTGTGCCACTGTTCATCTGACTGTTACTGTACTTCATTTTATTTTGATTCTAAATTGTTTTAATTATTTACTGTGTTTTATTTTTATAATTTCTAAACTGTTTTAATTACTCTGATTTCTTTTGATTATGTTAATTTATTCTATGTAAAGCACTTTGAATTACCATTGTGTATGAAATGTGCTATATAAATAAACTTGCCTTGCCTTGCCTAATGAGAAATTGAACTGGTGTTCCTAATAATCCTTTAGGTGAGTGTATAATAAAATAGGCGATAAAATATACAATAATACTATTAGATTTAAAACATAAATTCTGACATGTTGGGGTCTATCTTTTAAAAAGTCCTTAATCCATAGAACAAGAGTTGAATTAACTTGTAGTCTCTGTAGGCAATTAGTAATAGACAGATGTTCACTGTGTTAAAAGCAGATGTGAAATCCATAAATAAAATCCTAACAAATGAGTTAAAAAAGTCCAGATGTCCTGTCACTGTATCCAACAGAGTTAAGCTGGCATCCTCAACTCACCATTTTGGCTTAGGCAAACTGGAGTGGGTCCATACACTCAGATATCTTGGTGGTAAGCTCCATCGCCACCACCTTCTCCATGCACTTACATAGAATCGAAGTGAGTGCCACAGGTCTAAAATTTGCCATCTCCTTGACATGTTTTTCTTTTAGGAACAGGAATAATGGTTGTCTCCTTTCATGCTTTAATTAAAACAGATCAAATTTGTGTTCCGATAATCAGAGTCAGTTTTAATCAATGTGGAAAGTTCGTCCATTTAACGGCAGGTAATGCCAGGAGCCTACTTCCCCGTCTTCTCACCCTGTTCCCGATTCCTCCTCTTTATCCCCAATAAAGAGGAAAAAAAAGAAAAAATAAAGAGGTGCTTGCCGATGCTTTGCTTCAGCATGTTCACAGTGAACATGCCAAATGTTCCCAAACTATTTTTTTAGAACAAAATCATCTACCACTTCACCACCATCTAAACTGCTGTCCTGAAAAGTTCAGCGGGCGAGATCAAGTCACCACGGAGGAAGTTCACTCCCCTTAATGCCCTACAGATTCAACACAAATTCCTTTCCATCGCCATTCCTACCTCTGCTGGGGAGAGATAGCCCGCGAGGTGCTCTTCTACCTGGGGCATCCTCACATATGCCTGAATATTTCGAATGTGCTGAGGTAACTACACTAGCAGAACAAGGATTCCTCCACGAGCCTGACGCCTGACGCCTCAGTGTGCAGGTCCAGGAGAAATGGAGAGGGATGCTTGTGATACAACAGGATAGCTCATCCAAACAACCACGAGCGGCATCCTGCTTTACACCAGACCAGTAACAAATCTTCATATCCTGGAGAAGGGGGACTAGCTTGTATTATCCATCTCTTCCTAGTTCCTCAGAACAGAAGTGGATGCCAATAGCATGCAGAGCAGACTTCCAGATCTGGCAGCAGAGCCTCAGGGATAGCAGTCCACGAAAGAGAAACCCTGTTGACCTCTACTGCATTCTCTACGATCTTAGCCGTCACACTACCCGCACACAGCAGACGCGGGGCCAGAACCATGAGCCGCGGACGCTTGGCTATTATCTCGCGCGGAGAGAGCCAATTGGAAGCAGCAATTTCCTCACTGTGAACATACCACAACAACACAGATTATAAATTCATTATGAAGGGCATAGCACTACCATGAGCCGGTGGGATTGGTGTGATATCACATGTGCTTCAGACACCAGGTTCCCCACAGCGTCAACATCTAACGGCGGAGGTGAGTTCATGCCCGTGCCAGGTTTCTGGACAAGAAAGCCGTCCCGCTAAGATACACCTGTACATCTTTGCTCATGGCCTCTCTTGAAGCTTCCTCACTCATCGTTCCTCGCCTCCTCCAGGTGCCATTAACAAATTGAGATGTTCTTCAAGATGGCTTTGTTTGATTGGTTTTCCAGGTCACAGCGAGGGAACGAGGAAGCCTCATTCTGAGTATTGAAAAGTGTTCATCTTCTTAACATTTCATTGTTTATTTCCTGGTTTGTTCCCATGGTTATACACTATGGTCAACTCAGTGTCTTTAGTTCCTCTTTATTCTGTGCAATTATCACCCTGTGTTTAATGTGTGTCGAGTGTTGGTTTTTGTTAACCTTTACACTGTTATGCCTTATTTCTTCTGGAATGTCTTCATCTTGTATTGTTTGAATAAATCAGCCTGTGATTAGATCCATGACTCGATTACTCCATCCGCCCAGCACCGTAACATCTAGACTTGAACAGATAAATGTGAAGGTCCCAAAGCTCTTGACCTTTCTGTAGGTCTCAGTGTTGTCATCTTCCTTCCCTCTTTAGATTCATGCTCAGATCTGCTTTAAAGCTCAGTGTTAGTGTTTTCTTTCTCTCTTTGTCTGTTATGCTTTTCAGAAATGCTTGTGTTCTACAATGGTATGATTCATTTATTTCCATCATTTCTGTTTGTCTTTCAGCGTTGGGTGCGCGGAGCTGCAGCTATGTTGGAGTGTTTCACGTCGAGGGGAAAGAACGCTATAGTCTGACGTTTGAGATGGCCGAGAGCTTGTGCGAGGAGTTATCGTCTACATTAGCCAATATGATGCAGGTGACGGAAGCCTATGATGCAGGACTACAGACATGCAGGTCAAACGTCACTTGAGTTCTTCCGTTCATCTGAACATCACCTCATGACTTTCATCAAACTAAATACAGACATGCATTTTCTCTGCAGGTATGGCTGGGTGAACAGCACAGAGCTGGTGATCCTCCGTCACAGGGCAAATATTCAATGCGCTGGCAACCAAACAGGCATCATCAAAAAGGTTCAAGACCAGCAGAAATACGACGCCTTCTGTTATGATGCTACAGGTTTGATTTGTTCAACGTAGGGTATGTTTTGGTCAATGCGTGATCAACTATATTTTTAACAAAACGTTATATTTTAAACAGATTTGTCAGTGAAGAACTGTGCAGCTGAGATTAACCCTGAAAGTTCAAAAAAAGCAAATGCCAACCCTACCACAGCATCTACAGGTATGAACACCTTTCAGCACCTATGAATACATTTCGAATGAAGACACTTTTATCTGAAAGATCTTATACATGTTTTTTAGCTTTTCCCCTTATCACATGTTTTGTAAATCATCATAAGTGAGGTATTATTAATACTTTAACACTTAAAATTCATCCTGTGAAAACACTTTTGATAGTTGACATGTAGTTACAAAGATACTTAAAGTTGAATCCATTGAAATTAATTGGGTTACTTTTGTTTTGTTTTGCATAATTTTAATAAAGTGATAAGCTGCAGTACTGTTTTGGCATATTCAACATTGATAAAGCATGAGTGACATTAAATATACATACACAAAATAATATGAAAATAATTTCAACACTGTAAAAAAAATATTTTCATGATTAGTAATCACAACATTTTTTCTTTTGTCAAATCAAATTTATTTAGTTCAGATAACATATCATTTTGAGTTTCTGATGATTAAATTATTCTCCTTCATTGCATTAACTCACTTTTTCCATTTCAATGAACTTGACCCAGATAGCAAACTGACATTGAATCAACGTGGAAACATGACAATCGAAACAACGTTGATCTGACATTGTTTTGCTCATCGAATTAACGTTGAACCAACGTCAGACGCGTCATTCTTTCAAAACTAACGGAAAATCAACTTGAAATCAACGTTGTTTCAACGTTATGAAAGCAAACCAATTTTCGATTTTCATTTAGCTTTGAAGAATGCCGCGTCTGACGTTGGTTCAACGTTAATTCGATGAGCAAAATCAACGTTGTTTCAATGTCATGAGAGACGTCGTTTCCACGTTGATTCAATGTCAGTTTGCTGTCTGGGGAAATTTTAAGGCAACCAGGTTACTTACTTTTTTAAGTTAAACCAACAATATTTTTTTACAGTGAAAGTAAATATTTGAATGAGTAATGACATTTGTTTGTTTTAGCGTTGTGTGTTATTTACTGTGCACTGGATGGGGCTGTCCTGCTTTTAAAGTGTGTTGAATAGTCAGCAACACGATCACAGAATATCTCATATTTCTGCAGTCAATAACACTAGTTGTCTAATTAAATCTGAGTAAATATCAGTAAGATTACTTACTGACAGCAGGTTGAAAATTTGTCAAAAAAGGACCAATCAATGTTTGGTGAGTATATACTAAATTCTGCATAATTGTACATTTACAGATGTCACAACACACCAACACAATACTGGAGCGGAAGACAATGAAACTTCAACATTTGAAACTTCAGGAGATACATCGGTGTCTACTCCAGGACACTGGACACAGACGAGTGGCGAACTGAGCACAGCGGACCACAATGAGACCAACCAGACGCATGATCCAGACCATACAGAGGAGTCCACAAGCTTACTACCTAATGCAGACACCACAGGGACGGCAGTGGGCGAGAGAACGTCCAGGCATGAAACAACAACAGCTTATAAAACAGGTGAAAGTTCATGATTGAAATGGTTCTTCTGTTGCAACCTCTCATTTTATAAGAATTGTTTCCGTCTCTGATTTCTGACGTGCTGTAATGTGTCTTCATCACTCCAGGACATGTCAGCCCAAATGACCGTTCTTCAGAGTCAGATGTGACCAGATCATCAGGTTAGAAAGCTCTTTATAATATAAATCATGCCCGAATCATTTGTATTTGTCACTGTCCTACCAGCAGTCCTGAGCGCTTGATCAGCTTGTTTCCGTGTTCGGTTGGGCTGAACTCAGCAGGACTGATCCCTACGGTGGCCCAGAGAGCTCAACGCGCCGCAACTGAAGAAAACACATGCAAATTAAGAAAATATCTTTATCAGTTTTACAGCGTACCATCAGCTCGTGTGTGTATTTGGTTGTGTTGTGAGTATTTGGAGCACTGATAGAGATGGTTTCTCTATTTGCATGTGTTTTCTTCAGTTGCAGTGTGTTAAGCTCTCTGGGTCACCGTAGATCTCCATCCCTAAAAGATGGGGAGAGTGAATGGTGTTTAATACTACACATTTTTAACACTTTTTTCTGAATTCATATATAATATAATCTCAACCACCACTGAAACACTCTATATTATTGACAGGAACTGGTTTAGTAATGCATGTCTAACCAAAGGCCTTGACAGAAATCGGGACACATTAGTCAAGAAGAGTCTCATGATTGTGGGATTTTATCCCTATGAATACATTTGCAATACTGGATTTCCCCCCATAATGTTTTATGACTGAGAACCAACCAAAGAGCACCAAACAAGTTATTTCCAAGTTGTTTTCTATTTGAGAAGCCTTAAAAGGGAAAAGCATATATATATATATATATATAGTCCTGTGAGGTCTCATCGCTCAAAGCTCCTGCCAAATTCGTTATGTCATGACCGAACTTATTTAAACAGTTTGTTTGAAATAATATGTCATTTTTTATCATCCTTTTACAGACTGGCTGATCATTTTACTCACGATCTTGGCAGTTCTCCTCATTCTGCTCATCTGTGTCATTGTAGCAACCAGAAAAAGGTATGTCTTTTTTTAAAGGAGATAAAATATAATTAAAATACTATAGAAACATATCTGTCACAACACCCACACCAACACATTTGTGTTATGTGTTTCTGGGAGTTTTGGCCACCGTGTGCAAGTGCGTACTCCTGAGTGTGTGTAGAACATTAACCTTCATAAAACCTTAACAGCAACTGATTTGGCAACTTTGTCTTTAAGTCACACCAACTGGTTATGGAGCCATACTCGTATACAGTGTGCAAATTAACAGCGAAATAATACGCCATGAACTGTGGTCTACACTAAACTATGGAAGCTTGTTTCCGCCAATGAATAAAAATAAATAAATTTTTTATCTGACATTTTATCATCTGACATTTTATCTCACAATTGCGAGATATAAAGTTAGAATTGCGACACAATATAAAGACACAATTCTTATCTCGCAATTCTGACTTTATATGTCGCAATTCTGACTTTATATCTCGCAATTCTGACTTTATATGTCGCAATTCTGACTTTATATCACGCAATTCTGACTTTATATCTCACAATTCTGACTTTATATCTCGCAATTCTGACTTTATATCTCGCAATTCTGACTTTATATCTCGCAATTCTGACTTTATATCACGCAATTCTGACTTTATATCTCACAATTCTGACTTTATATCTCGCAATTCTGACTTTATATCTCGCAATTCTGACTTGATATGTCGCAATTCTGACTTTATATCACGCAATTCTGACTTTTTATCTCACAATTCTGACTTTATATCTCACAATTCTGACTTTATATCTCACAATTCTGACTTTATATCTCACAATTCTGACTTTATATCTCGCAATTCTGACTTTATATCTCACAATTCTGACTTTATATCTCACAATTCTGACTTTATATCTCGCAATTCTGACTTTATATCTCGCAATTCTGACTATCACGCAATTCTGACTTTTTATCTCACAATT